TTTTTTTTTTTTTTTTTTTTTTTTTTTTACTTTTTTTTTTTTTTTCAATTTTTATTTTCTTCCTTTATCACTCTTTATTTGCATTTTTTCACTTTTATATCCATTTCTTTTTTCTTTTATTTTTTTTTCATTTTTATTTCCATTTTTCACTTTTCATTTCCATTCCTTTTTCATTTTTTATTTTCTTTCTTTTTTCACTTCTTATTTCCATTTTTATCACTTTATTTCCATTCTTTCTTCACTATTTATTTTCTTTTTTTCATTTTTTTTCCATTTTCCTTTCCATTCTTTTTTTTTTTACACTTTATTTCCATTTTTTCCACTCTTTATTTTCAGTTTTTTTTTTTTTCTGAATATAATTTTCGAAATAAGAGAAAATGAATGTTATCTTCGTAACTGTGTTGGTTATTGAAGTTTCTAGCGGAGGCTTATTATGGAGAATCCCACAGAGTGATTCTTGAAATATTAAAAAGATAAGTATTTTCTCTCTCTCTCTCTCTTTCTCCTTTCCTCTCTCTCTCTTTCTCTCTCTCTTCTCTCTCTCTTTCTTCTCTCTCTCTCTCTCTCTCTCTCTCTCTCTCTCTCTCTCTCTCTCTCTCTCTCTCTCTCTCTCTCTCTCTCTCTCTCTCTCTCCCTTTCTTACTCTGCTGTTCCATTTAATTTAATATCAAAAGTTTAATGATTGTCATTAACTACTAATTTAAGTAATGGTATTAACATAATTTCTAACATTACCTCGAATGTCATAATCATTTTGTTGCAAGATGAAGCGCAAAAAATGATAATATTTCATAACCTTTCATTGTAAAACGTTTATATCTTTTAATCAGATTCTTTAACATTTTAAGCAACAAACGTTCCATGTTTAGTTGTTGTTTTTTACTATTATTAATACTGATATCTTAAAAGGCACATGTAAGTATCTGCATAATGTTTTTTTTTTTTTTTTTTTTTGTATAATCATTTCATTGCGTTAAGCGCTGTGCTTCGTAATTATGCAGACGAATATTATAAGACCACTTCTCTTTCTTTCTCTCCCTCTCACTCTCTCTTTTTTCTCTCTCTTCCCCTCTCTCTCTCTCTCTCTCTCTCTTCTCTCTCTCTCTCTCTCTCTCTCTCTCTCTCTCTCTCTCTCTCTCTCTCTCTTCTCTCTCTCTCTCTCTCCCTCTCCCTCTCCCTCCTCTCTCTCTCTCTCTCCCTCCATCTCTCTCTCCTCCCTCCCTCTCTCTCTTCTCCCTCTCCCTCTCTCTCTCCTCTCTCTCTCTCTTCCCCCACCCCACTCTCTCGTCTCTCTCTCTCTCTCTCTCTCTCTCTCTCTCCTCTCTCTCTCTCTCTCTCTCTCTCTCTCTCTCTCTCTCTCTCTCTCTCTCTCCTTCCCTCTCTCACTCCCTCATTCCCACTCCTGCGTCTCCCCGTGTCTTCAAATACACTTAAAAATCCCCGACACTTTATCTCGACACTTCGGACACCAAAGCGACGCGACCCGAAACTTCCAGAACGCTTATGTAAGAGGAAGAAGACTTTGTCCCCGATAAACGCTATCAAGATCATCATTCTCGAATTTCAATAAAAGCTGCGTCACCGCTAGTTGGGGTATTAAAACCTTTCATATTAGCGGGATTTCCAATCTCTTTGATGTGGTAATGTTGATAAGAAACATTGTATACACACACACACACACACACACACACACACGCACACACACACACACACACACACACACACACCACACACACACACACACACACACATACACACACACACACACACACACATATATATACATACGCACACATACGTGTACAAATACACACACCCATACGTACATACACACATATATGTGTGTGATACAAATCATAATCCTTATTAGTATCTTTATTTCTTAATAATTCAACAATATCACCCCCCCCAAAAAAAAAAAAAAAAAACTTTCGATTGCGACTGTTTTACTCATCTGTTGCCTCTATAAGCAAAATAATCCACTTTTATAGTACGAAAACAACATGTATTATATCCCCAAATGATCCTCGGTGTTAAAAGCTTATTTAGTGATGTTTACAGTAGGAAAAAAGTATATGATGCAGATCTCCGTGGATACAATTGAAGGTCTTTCACTTTTCTTTTATTAATTTCTAGTTGAAGGTCCTCAGTCGTAGTACCATATTAACTCAGAATTCTTAAGTGATCAAAAAGAATTTGATAATCTATAGACTGTGAGCTCGTATTAGTGTTTTAATAGGATTGTGTAATATGAAACACACACATAAATGTTTCGTCATCGTTGTTATTAAAAGGGTAATTTTTACGATTATTCCCAGTCTTATTTTATAGTTACCATTATCATTATTAACTATTATCAACAGTACAGGTATCTTTTGAGAGTGTCGTATAATAGCATTGGAATAACTTTTGAACTAATTTTCACACACACGCACACATCACACACACACACACACACACACACACACATACACGCACGCACCACGCACACACACACACA